CCTTCCTTCCTTCCTTCCTTCCTTCCTTCCTTCCTTCCTTCCTTCCTACCTACCTACCTACCTACCTTCCTATCTTGCCTGTCCTTCTTTCCTTCCTTTCCTGTCCTTCCTTTCCTGTCCTTCCTTCCTTCCTTCCTTCCTTCCTTCCTTCCTTCCTTCCTTCCCCAGTCAGGGCGCCGCTTCTCTCGCCCGGCCAGCTATTCCGCGCGGACCGGGAAAAGCCGGGAAAGACCCCCCCCCCACGGCTGGTGGTGGGTTCGTGGGGCGGAGTGGCGGGGGGGAGGAAGCTGGTCGTGTGAACGCGCGCCCTTTGCTCTGCCAGGGAGGAATAGTTGGGGAGGGCGGCAGAAACCCGCGTCCGTGGCTTGGAGGGGGTCCCCCCCTCTTCCCCGGAGCCCAGCGATGCCCTCCAAGCGCCGGCGGGGGAGGGGAGGGAGGCAACCCCCTTACCCGGGCGCGACGGGCGGGGTCTCCGGGCGGCGATCGGTGGGGGGCTTTGTGCGGCGGAGTGCACGCGTGTTGTGACCTATTTTCCCCCGGATTATTATTATTATTTCCTTCTTTCCTTCTTTCTCTTCCTTCCTTCCTTCCTTCCCTTCCCTTTCCTTCTTTTCTTCCTTCTTTTCCTTTCTTTCCTTCCTTCCTTCCTTTTCTTTCTTCCTTCTTTCCTTTCCTTTCCTTCCTTTCCTTTCCTTCCTTCTTTCCTTTCCTTTCCTTCTTTTCCTTCCTTCCTTCTTTCCTTTCCTTTCCTTTCCTTTCCTTCCTTCCTTCCTTCCTTTCCTTTCCTTTCCTTTCCTTTCCTTTCCTTTCCTTCAGGCCCCGGTGGGCGGGCGGGTGGTGGCTAGCAGGCTGGACCTGACCCGGGCGCACCCAGCTGCCTGGCACCCACGGGCGGGCGGGGAAAAGAGCCGGGAGCTCCCGGCCTCGCTGCCACCTCCTCCAGGGCACACCCCCCCCCCCCGTGTGTGGCACGTGCCCAGGCAACCGGCCGGGCATTCCCCAGGGGGCGAGAATTGGGCGAGGTTGTGTCTTCACCAGCCTCTGGGGGAGAAACGGGGTTGGGTGCCTGGTGCAATGTGGAGTGGGGGGGGGGACCGGGTTCAAGGGTCAGGAATTGCTTCTCCCCCCCCCTTTGCAGGTTTCTCTCCCCTGCTAGCTGACCCCCCCCTTCCCCTACCTATAGCTGCCCTTGGCACAGGCGCCTTGCCAAGCGAGATCGCCTCTGTGGCCGAGCCCCTTAGTTTGTCTCGCTTTCCTGGCAAAGTGGCGGGGGGGGGAAACGCAGGGGGGGGAGTTTAACTTCCACACAGGCAGACCAAACCCCCTCCCCCCAAAAAAAACATACCCCTCCCCCCAAAAAAAACACACCCCTCCCCCTGTTTCTGGTGGGGTCTTCCTGGGCTCGCTAGAGGAAGGTGGGTCTGCCTGCATAGGAAGGGAAGGGGGCTTTTTTCTTGGGGGTGGGGGGTGCTACAAGCAGAGAGGGGGAACTGTCTCTAGGCTGGCTGGGAGGCTGAGACCCCAGCTCCTTTGAGGGGCGGGGGCAGGATAAGACCCTGCCTTATTTTGCTTCCTCTCTCTTTCATACTTTCCTTCTTTCTTCTCTCCTCCCTCTGTCCTTCTCTCTTCCTCCCTTGTTTCTTCCTTCCTTCCTTCCCACTCTCTCCACTTTTTCTTCCTCTTCCCTCCCTCCCTCCTTTTTTCTCACCTTCCTCCCATTCTTCCCTTCCTCCCTTCTTGCACACGCTTTTCCTTCTTTCTTGATGCCTCTCCTTCCTTTCCCTCTCTTTTTCTCGCCTTCCCTCCTCCCTCCCGTTCTCTCCTTCCTTCCCTCCCCTCCTGTCTCTCTCACACTTTTCCTCCCTTCCTTTTTTCCCGGCTTCCCTCCTTTCTTCTTTCCCTCCCTCTCTCCTTCCTTCTTTCCCTCCCTCCCTCCTTCCTTCTCTCCCTCCCTCTCTCCTTCCTTCTCTCCCTCCCTCCTTCCTTCTTTCCCTCCCTCCCTCCTTCCTTCTCTCCCTCCTTCCTTCCTTCTTTCCCTCCCTCTCTCCTTCCTTCTTTCCCTCCCTCCCTCCTTCCTTCTCTCCCTCTCTCCTTCCTTCTTTCCTCCCTCCCTTCTTCCTTCTCTCCCTCCCTCTCTCCTTCCTTCTTTCCCTCCCTCCCTCCTTCTTTCTCTCCCTCCCTCCCTCCTTCCTTCTTTCCCTCCCTCCCTCCTTCCTTCTTTCCCTCCCTCCCTCCTTCCTTCTTTCCCTCCCTCTCTCCTTCCTTCTCTCCCTCCCTCCCTTCTTCCAAGGCCAGCCTTCTGCTGTGGGAAGGCACTTTGCTTCTCCCCCCTCCCTCCCCCCTCAGGGCTGCAGACTTAATTCCCATTTGTAGAGCCAGACACCACCTTCCCCCACTGTGGGACTGCCTTTCCTCTCACTCTCAGCCTGGCTGGGAACTCTGGGAGTTGTAGTCCAGCAGCCCCAGCTATCTCAGAAGCCGGCCAGCCGCATTCCTCTTG